ATGCATAACTACTGGAGAACCAGGGTTAGTGTTTAGGAACATGATGTACTCCTGTTCAGGGGTATTTCTGCATTCTGTCTACTTGCCTTTGAATTGCTTTGGAGTCTTGTCCAGGGGAGATAATTCCAGAAGCCGTTCACACCCAGGCTGCAAATTCCATATGCTGCGTTCAGGTGACAAAGGGAATGTGATTGCAAAGCTACTGGGAAAATTGGAAACCAAATTGGCCCTGATGGTTGGTCTTTATAGTGTCCTTTTGGAATCAACAAGAGGGAGAAGAGAATGAAGGACAGGGAAATGAAGAGTGTCCCACTGTAAAGAAAATGAGTTTATTTAGCCAGTTTGTAAAGGGAGAAGCAAATTTCATGTTATGCCAGGTCTGATTCCTGAGGCTTTAAGGAGCCTCAAGGCAGCAGTTGTACTGGAAATTTGCAGCTGCAAAGAGAGACTCTAAACCCTGTAAGGGAGTCCCAGTGGTGAGGAGTGTTTACATTGCAGCTGGGCCCAAAGAGCCTCAGATAAGATTGTGGGGCCCTGTGGTGCATCACATGCTGGGCGACTCTGTGGCTGGAGATGATTCATAGCTTTTATGGGTGAAAAAGGACAAAAATGTGGGGGAACAAAACAGCCAGGAAGAATTTTGTGTGATCTGTGGCACTTCATTTCCAGCCAGAGAACAGAATTCACATGTCCAGGCCTTCCCTTGTATTTTAAACCCTTTAAACTGAGAGAACAATGCAGAAAATCCCAGAGGACACATGAGAAAGGGGGTTGTACCTAATCCCTTTATCATTTCTTTGCATTTACTTGCTAACAAAATATATTTTTCTTTAGAATGGCCTCTGAGATTTTATACTATGGGGTATTTGGTTTAAAATATACTGTAACCTTCCTCTTTTTAAATTGATCAGATCAGCCTTGAACACTCAAAGAAAAATCTGCCTGCTCTGAATATTGCCTGAGGATTTAGAAAGGTCTTTCTTGGAAACAGAAGAACAAGATGAAACAATTATCTGTAAAGCATGGTAAGAGAGAAAAAGAATAAAGAAACGAGTTATGTTTGACTTGTCTTCTTCCAAGAGACAGGGTTTTTTTTGGTTTTTTAGAGTAGAGTTTAGATGTGGGAGATTTGCAGTGTCTTGCTAGAACAAGTTGCAAAACACAAGCAGTTTTCCTCCTGCTCTGGTAACTTGTAGACCAGAGAAAGTCTTTGTTTTGGCAATTTGGTTTGCAGTCAGGCTGTATTATTTGCTGCTTCAGTTGTAGGAGAAACTTTCCTAATGACAGGTGTCAATTAAATAAATGTTATCTTCCACCTGAGCAGAGCAACACTAAAATTTCAACTGAGTTATTAATAAACAAGGAGCCAATGGATGTGATCCCTTACTCTGAAGGGATGATTGTCAGTCACACCTCAATGGCATCTGCTTGCAGATATAATGAAGAAAGATTATCAATGCTGTAAGTGACTGCAGTGACTCTGGTCAGCAAATAATAAAGACATTGTCAGAGTGATCAGCCCTGCCTCCCAGGTGCTGACACTGTTAAGTGATATCTCTGTGGGATTTGGGTCCTCATTTATGTAACTGTGGTTGAAAACCAGAAAAAAAAATACCCTTCTTAATAATTAATTTCATGCCATTCTCTGCATGTCTAAATGGAAAACTCAGTCATGACCAAAGTCAGCTTATTTGTGCACTGATGAGTTAGAGAAGCAGCAGTGAAAGACCTTTAAAGCAACATCCTTGGTTTAGTATTGAGAATGCAAACTGTTGGCAATATATGAGTTTCTCCAGAGCTGATTTTGGATCCTGATGGGGTGAAGGAGGAACGAGCCATTTCCTGTGTCCTTTGGAAATATAGAAATAAAATATTATTTTAGTATTCCAGCTTTCCTGTGGTGCTAGCTGCTGTTGGGAATTGTACAGGATCCAGAATCCTTCTGTGTCTGTCCTTACCTTAATTTGTAGCTTCAATTAAAGGTGTGTGAGAGGAGGTTGGATGCATAGCCCCATCTGCACACAAAGGGACAGATGTGAATAATGAAATGGACCAGGCCAGTTGTGATAGAGCTTAGCCAAAGTGAGAAGGGAGGAGACTTCAAGACCTTCTCCTCTTTCATAGAGTGCCAAGCACCCCAAAGGCTGCCTTATTTAGCTGGCAGTGTCCCCTGATTCTCCTGGGAAGGGTACTTCAGGGTCTGTGTATGTTTCCAAGACTTAAAAAGCAGACTGAAAAATATAAAAGGTGCAAAGGAAGTTTCTGACTTTTAAATCCTTTTACCATCCCCAAATTTCTGTTGCAGTCACAGATGATACAATACAGAGTTGATAAATTCACCTGCTCTGACATCAGGCAAGTGTAAAAATTCTAGGTTTTGCTTTGGATTTCTTGCCTTCCCATATTCCATCCCAGTCCAGAACAAAGGGCTGAATCCTGCTGAAACAATTGATCCCCAGGGGCTGGATGCTATTGTCTCTAATACACAGATAAAAGTCAGTCATATCAGCTGCAGATGAAATCACAGATGAAATCTTACTAATTAATTGCATGAACTTTGTTTCTGCCTGGTTTGAGATTCTCTCAGCCTTGCAAAAAGATCTGGGCACCCATACTGTACACCTCAATGGGGCTGTTGATTTTCCAAGGAAGACTAACAATTTTTTTTTCTGCCTAAAATAGCCCTGCAATTACTCCTGCTCGCATGGTTTTGCAGTTACAAAATGGTTTCTGAAAACTGGTTTTGTTCACACGTGATTGAAAAGATGCCCTACGTTGTTCTGCCAAGTTAGGCACTGATTCAGGTTTATGACCATATCATTAATATTTTAGTACTGCATCAGTAACTGGTTGCTATTAATATGTAGCGAAACAGTGATATAAAAAGGGAGATGTTCCCAATCATTTGGCAGAATTTGCATTACAGCTGGATGAAATTTATAACACATCTCCCGCAACCTACCAGTCTGAACTCCTGTTATTAATTTCTGCTGTGTTTATTCCTCCTTTATGTTCTCTTTGGGCGATATTCTATCAAGTTTCCTGGCAAGCACCACGGTGGATATAGCTAATTTCAGCTGACTGCAGGGGAAGGACTTTGCAGAAAGTGAATTTTGAATTAGCACTAGTATTTGCAGCAAAAATCTCCCCCTGAGAAGCCTATTCCCCTCGGCCTGGCGTCAGCAGCACTTAAGTGCATGTGAATGGCCCTATTGACTTCAGGTAGGCAGCTGTTTAATTACCTTCCTGAATCCAGGCCAGAGCAGGAAACAACTCCCAGCACAGACCTGGGCGCCTGCTCTCCCAGTGCTGGACTTCTGAGAGTGACCCACGCACTGTTTGACTTGGTAATTTGGCAAATCCTTTCCAGTCGAGAATAAATTTGAGGAAATCATCATTTGACGCACGGAGAGGTGAAATTTGTGCAGTGTATTTTTCATGACGAGGCAGCTATTGCCCGGATTTATTCAGCCTGCTTGGCTCTTCCTGTTCCAATAGTCCCAGCAATCACATTTTTTTCCTCCCCCACGTTTTATTTAGGAACTGTGAGATGACAGGTCTCTTGCCTCTCTACCAGGAAAGCGGAGTGCTGCACGCAGCGTGCTGCACACAGGAGCAGGAGGATAAAGAATGACATGCTACTCTCTAAGCTACAACTATTTTTTTTTTTTCCCCAGCTCGCATCTGCTCTTGTCCCTCTTCTGTTCTCAGATCACTCTTCAGCTTCCCTTAGGAATCCAGCTGTGTCATCACATTGTGTGGCATCCTAATATTTCATACTAAGCTGTAAGCCAATTAGGAATGACTACTTACCATGCTGAATCATAGGAAGAGAAAAGGATAATGTGTCCTTCATATAACGAACCTCCTCTTTTTTGGCAAGACAGATCACCTACACCTTATATTTATAAGCCCTGTGGCTTTTCACTCTACCCAATTAGGGTGCAGCTTCCTCTCACACTTCTGCAATATTTTAAGGGACTTATTTACAGATGGATGCTTATTGAAAATGCTGACCTGCTACCATTTTACCTCATGGCACCTTTCATCTTCAGAGACTGAAACACTGGACAAAACTTGATGTTGTAATCACCTTTACAGGATAAGAACATGAGTGCAGCAAAATATAAATACCTTGTCCTGAGCTTCTAAATGAACTGGTGACCCTGCATGAGGGTAGGGTAGTGTAACACTATCAGATGTTACACAGGGTTCAGGGAGATGTTGATTAAAGTCAAACTGTAAAATAAAGCCTGTTAACATCTAAAAGGCAGAAGAACAAACCACTGATGTGCATTTGGGAGCACGTGAATTGTTTAGTAATGAGCATCGAAGATATTAAAATATATTTCCCATGCTGATGTAATTAATGGGCTATTATGCCAGGTGTCTAAGCTGTTCAGGGGTCTGGGATAAATTGCGTTCCAGCAGAAAATGTGAAGTGTGATTTAAATGTTGTAGTGGAGCCTTTAGGATGCCCCCTTTCCTCCAACTGGTGTTTCCTTTTCCCAAGCTGCTTAAGGAGCTATTGGTGGTGTTTATTGTCCAGGAAGAGATGTACTCCTTTAAATTTGTCTTTGCACCCTGGTAGCGTTGCAAACTGAGGACTCTGGTGACCTGTGGCTGGTACCTGCCATCCTTCAAACCTTGCCCAGCCTTGTTAGTCCTCACTGCAAGCCAGCAGGGCTGCTCAGAAGCCAGTCAAACCTCCCTCAGGTGACAGATTTTGGGTGCAGTCATGGCAGGGACTGCAGCCATCTAAGAGCCCTAGCTGTGGATACCTCTAGGAAGAAAGGACAGCCTTGATTTGGCTCCTCAAAAGGCATTTTCCAGACCAAGTCCAGGCATTTTTGTTTTTGTTGCCTCTGCTGCTTGGACAGGTTGTAGCTAAAGAAAACGTGGGAACCACTGGTTTCAGACTTCTTCAGTGAGGTCCAGCCATACCCTGCTAGGGTTCAATTTCTGCCTTGCTATTCACATCCCTTTGTTTTTACCCTCAGATACCTCTGGGACAAAGAAGTTCTCCCACAGCCTGCCAGGACGGGGAAGTGGTGAGTCAAAACACCAACATGTGGGGCTGAAGCACAGAGCCAGGCAGCTGTAGAGGACCCCTCTGCTTCCCAGGGTAACTAATCCCACCTCTGCTGAGCCCACTGGAGGGCTCTGATGCTAAGGTAGAGCTGAGGATGTTGCAGTACAAGAGATTTTGCAAGTAGAGGATGAAGATTTATTATATTTTTCTTGCTAAGACAAGTCTTGAGTAAGTTGAAGTTAGTTTTACTGTAAAGGTTTTGTGCTTTATCTTGTTTTATCTAATGCTTGTTTTATGAACATAGGGGTTTAGAAACCTTTTGATCTTCAAGAGAAAATTGCCTGTTTAGGAGCTATACCTTTTGTATTGTTATTCAAAAATGTCTCAGTTAATCATTAGTAAAGGCCTTGCCAGCCTGTGTTGCAAATTCTTTTTTTTTTTTTTTTTAATGCAGCCTGTATATAATTTATATGGTTCCTTTCCACATAGATAAGGATTCATCTCAAATGTCAGGGTGGGGGAGGAGAAGATACATGACCCAGAGGGCAAAAATATTGAATGCACTGGTGCTGGACTTGACATTCCCCTAGTATTCCCTGTGATAACATCAATCTTAAGGAACCCTCCTGGTATAAATACAGAGCTGCTGTGCTTAATATATATTTCCAAAGGAATTTCATAGTAATTGAGCATTAAATGATGTCCACTTATTGTAAAGTGCTACTGTTTTTATTAAAAATTATAAATGGGCTTTAGCAGAACAGAATATACCAGATTCACACCACTGTCTCTATTAGTCTTTATGTTACAATTGTCATTGACCAGCTTTACTGCATTATTTTTAGACAGTTCATAATTTCCCCCGCTGATCAAATGAAGATCTGTGAGCACAGAAAGGCACTGGCTAAATTATGTAGTGCCATTGATTTTTATTCTCCTTATTTCACAGAACACACTTTAAAGTCTCCCTGTGTCTGTGATGGGCCTCAGGAGCACCTGGAGGAGCTGGTGTGGCTGGAACACGTGGGCTGCACTGGGAATCTCAGAAATTGTGGCAGATGTTGGTGGAAATTGAGAAATTGTGGCAGAGAGAAATGGTGGCAGATGTTCCACCTGTGGAGCTGTTCAAGGCCAGGTTGGACTGGGCTTGGAGCTGCTTGGTGTGGTGGAAGGTGTCCCTGCCCAGGGAAGGGCTGGATCTCAAAGGGGAGCTTTAAGGTCCTTTTCAACCCCAATCATCTATGACTCTGAAATATTGGCATTTCCCTTCTCTACAGACAATGACTCTTGCATGGGGTACCAATTCACCCACTCACTCAGCCTCTCCTCGTTGTGACTTTCAAACATTTTCAAGTTTGAAGAACAAAACCAAAGTAAACGTGATGAATGTTTGGTTCAGTTTGTGGGGAATGTTGGTTATTTCACCGTGCTACTTTGGGGATATTTGGGGATGCTTGCACATTACAAATTGCTGGAAAATATGTGAACTGAAAAATGTTTTCTGAGATTGAGGAGAGTAAGGTTTGAAAATTGAAAACTGATATTTATTTGCAAAGTTTGACCCAAATATGTTAATTATTTTAGCCCTCCCAAGATTAGAAAAGAGGTCATTAGGTGTTCATAGCAGAAATGATCTTACAGTACATTGCTACTCTATTTTATTGTCAACTGGGAACTGTGAATGAAAGTTATGGCAAGATTCATTATTTTTGTGTTTGTTCTTGAGGCTTGAAAGAAATGACATGTGTGGGCTAGAAATACAGCTCCTTCTATCCTTCAGTTGAGTCTGGTGTGGTAGCATTTACCTCTTACATATGTTTTATTGGATTTTGATGCATTATGTAGTTTAGATTAGTATTTTGGCTTTTTAATTAGCAGGACTTCACTATGGCCTGTTTGCTGCTTGTCTTATCTGTAGAATACAGCCCATGGGAAGATGACCAGGAATGGCTAAAACTTTGTACAAAGCATTAAATGTTCTTTCTGTATCATGACAAAGAGAACAAACACTCTCATACCAATACAGGAGTTTCTGTGAATTTTCTGGAGTTCTCTTACAACTCAAAAGGGGAAATGCCTGCCCAGGCACTGGAAATGAAAGAAGGTATTTTCTGGCCATGGGAGTAAGGAGAGTTACAAATGCAGCCCTATCTTTGCCCTTATTGTTTATTAATGCAGCCAATGCTCACCCAGCCCCTGCTCCTGCTGAAAGCCACAACTGTCCTGTGTGCTCTGGTTTGTATATGAAGTGACAGCAGTTACACAATCTCACTCCACAGACCAAACTTTTCACACAGCTCGGGTAGAAATGAGCCCCTGGGGACTCAGGATGCTGCCAGTGCTCTGTGAGATGCTGTGATGGCAAAGCCAGCTATCAGTTGTTAATCCCAGCACATCATAGGAGACACTTGCTATCTCCTCCTGTAATGTTAATGCAGCCGGGATTCCATAAATCAAATCTCAGCAGTAAAAAGGTTAATAAGTTTACACTATATAATTGAAAGCCATATTGGTGATTAAAAGGATTTTATATATCAGTTTTCTGGGTCACCAACTAATTATTTTCGGTGGCCTGTAATAAAACATAGCACCATAGGCAGATAGAGGCTGTAATCACATAATATATGAAAAAAAGTGTTCATATTTATTTGAGATGAGGTGGTGTACACCAGCTTGTTGAATAGCCTTTGAGGTCTCTCTCCTAGTTTGGAGACAATGGGAGAAGTGCATGCTCTGTGTAGTTGGTGAGGTTCATCCCAAGTTATTGGGTTGAGTTTTGAGGTCTGGCACTCTCTCTCCAGAGCTGACCCAAGGGAACCAGCTGTCACCTGTGATGGAAAGGTTCTGCCAAGGCACTGGGGATCAGATTGCTATTATAATTCATTTTAATGCATTCTGCACATACTAATCATTTATTGGAACAAGATCTTCTGTAATAGGGACATGACTAGCAAGAGACAGGGACAATTGATCATTCTTGCCCAGAAAGGATAGTTGAAAAAACAAACAAAACCCCCTCCCTTCTGTACAAGGGGCAGGTGTGTGTGCGTGTATGAGGGATTGGGTATTCAGTGTGGAGATGGAGAAAAATTGAACCCAAAGCTTGTATTGAAATCTCTACAGTAAAAAGGAACCCTTCTGTACAAGGGGCAGGTGTTTGAATGGGCATTGTGCATTCAGTGTGGAGAGGGAGAAATTCTGAACTCAAAACTTGAATTTTAATTTCTACTGTTCTGTCAGGCTGAAATGCCCTTTCTGGAGCCAGAAATTCAGGCACAGACATTCCAAACTCATGCCTGTGTTCTGCAGGTTTTATGTTTTTAGAGCTTTTCTCTGATTGCATCAAGAAGCAGCTGAGGGCAGGGGTGGACGTGGGGTGTGCAGGTGGATTTGCAGGGAGGTGCTGTGCAGGGGGTGTTTGCATAAATAATTCACAGGTCACTTCTGTAGTCTCTGGAGCCTCCTGTGGTCCTGTGTGAGGTGACATAGCCACAGCCCTTCTAATGGTTAAACAAGCCACTGCTGGTCTCTGTTTTGCTTGGTGAGCAAAGGGCAAACAGCACAATACGGTGAGTGCTGGGCACATCGTTCCTGTGGTCAGGGCAGGACCAGAGATGTGACCAAAACCAAATGACCTGATGTTCAAATCCCTCCTGACATGGCTTGCAGAACCACTTAAGAGAGCAGGACCTTCTGTGACAACTGCTTCTGTAATATTTGTTAGATCTTCTGGCTACAGCTGTTTAATTGAAAAAATCATTAACTCTTAAATGCCCATTGCAAAAAATCAGTGCCATGATATATTATACTGCAATGAGTAAAGGTTCAAGTCCTCTGCCACTAAAATAATTTGCTTGTCATCTCCTATATCTAAATAGAAAATTTTTCTGCACTGAAAAGACCATATTTTTATTCAAATGAAGCTCTTAATGTGTTTCCTAGCAGCATAGCTACAGGGTGTGATACTCAGTTTTAAACACAGGCTGGGGAGGTTAAAAGTGGAATGGCAGTTGGGTGAGTAATGGCCTGTGAGTCAGCTGCTAAACTTGACTTGACAACCTCCATGTCACCACCAAGTCAGAAGTCATTCGTGTGACACTTTTGAGGGTAAAGAAGTAAAAAATAAGCTGGTAGTTTCCACTGGTAGAAGGCCATATCCTGACCCTCTGAACAAAGACTGAGAAGGGGGCAAGGTAAGCAGCAGCAATTGTGCAAATTAAGAAAGTGAGAATATAAATTGCATCCACAATTATGGGAGGATATCTACACAACTGTAGATAATTCAAATACCTTAGGTGTGCCCCTCTGAAGTTCGGAGGAAAAGCAGTGTGGTTAAAGGGTCTGAGTGCTGGGAGGGAGTGTCTTGTCTGATGCTGAGCAGGCTTCCTCCCAGGGCTCTTTGCAGCTGGAGCTTTCATAGTTTGAGTTGGCCAATCTGGGGCTAAGAAAGCCAAATTACACTTCTGCAATCTGCTGCTGTTCCGGGCTGGAACAGCAGAAATTCTTGCCTTGCTGTCACTGTGTTCAGCCTTTCTCTTTGGAGAGATTTTTGTCACTGGATTGGTAATATCAGGAAGTTGTTATTTTTTCACACATAATCAGCAGCAGAAAGTGCACAGTCCTGTTTCAGCCTCCAGGTGCTTACAGACATCTCTGTTAAAATTGACAAAGAGAGTGAGAACGGAATGGAAAGAGATGACGAGGTGACCTTGACACAGCCTAGTGCTAAGGGAGTGCATGGGAAAAGAGGGATCTCATGGCTATCCTGGGAAAGAGCTTCTTCTGCCCCTGACACAGACGGTCTGGCTCTTCTGAAGAATAAAATCACAACAATATCTCGAGGGAAATAACATATCCTGTTTGATAGCACTGATAGAGATAACCAAAAGGAATTTGAGCATCCGCTGAGTTTAGTTCTCTCCTTGTGACATGTATAGAGTGGTGTCCTCTGGATGGAGCTTCTGGGTGATATATTTTAGGTAGCATAGGCAAGGCAGGGAGGATCCCAACAACTATTCTGTATCTGACCTAGAACAAGAGGTCAGGACCATAATAT